GGGGGGGGGGGGGATGGGGGTGTTGAAAGGTTCTCTACGTGCAGACCAGCAGCATCTGTTCTGATAAGGATCCTGAGGCTGGTCAAGCGATGGTCTTCCTCACGCTGGTTCTTTGTCATCCTGTCTATGTTTGAAAACAGGCAAGTTTCCTGGAACTGGGATGACTGAAGGTCAGAGTTTGTATCTTCTGAAGTTAGTTCCTAGGATTCTTATACAAACGTGCTGTCTACCTACACGCTACATATTACTCAGTGTCAGCATTTACAGAAACCATGTAAAAAGAGCGGTGGGGTGGGTTATAATTTCCCAGTTGTACTCAGAGGTGTGGTTAGGCAGGAGCCTGCAAGCAACCCAGAACCCTACACTTGGACAAGTTTATCCCTCTGGGCCTGTTGCTGCATTTAAAACGTGGGGCTGATGATAAACTCAAAAGCTTATGAAGACTGAATGGGACAGTGTGTAAAAAATGTCCAGCAAAATGCCTGACATTATATGAGTGCTCCATGAGTGTGATGTCTCTAATTTCTTTTTCTTCAAACTCTAAGAGTTTGGAGATTCGCTTATTCTATTACACTCCCACATACCGTGATTAGTCTCTCAAAAGCACAAGTTCTTCTGAATAAGTGCACTAAGTGGATCAGCTTACCAGGAAAGCTAATCAGGTGGTTTATGTAGAACTCAGTTGTCACGATAGCTGACGACAAGATTCAGCAAGTGACTGTCTCAACGGCTTAAGGGTATGCGGAAAAGAATAATTAGAAATGTTAGAAAAACTAGAGAAATGGTGTGCAGGAGGCTGGTAGATTCCAAAGGTTTGACTAAGCAGTTGCCATAGCTGTGTTTACAAAAAAAGTCATGAAAAATGAATGTATTGGCATCCCTTTAATCTACCTAACAGTGACTTTACGATTGTATTATTTTCTGAGCGCAGAATGCTCCCTTTTGGATTTGGAGTAGCCATAAAACCAAATTTAGTCAATTCTAGTACGTAACATAATCACATGACTTTGTTACAGACACTGTTTCAAAACACAGTACATAGATGTCAGTCACTGACCTTTCAATCCAGACTTCTTACCCTCACCCGTGTGACCTGGGGGCAATCTCCCTCTCTGACTTCACCTCCCATCATTCTCCTGCCATTCCTACTCTACCTTCCAACAATATGAACTTTCTTTCCTTTCTTTAAGGACACGGACAATGGTGTGGAGAGGGACTGGGCAGGGGGATGGGACGAGGTAGAATGGGTCATTGGGGAGAAAAAGGGACATCTGCAATATTTTAAACAAACAAACAAAGATGCCAAGCTCATTTGTGCGTTGAGGCCCATTTCCTGGTTTCACCTCAGTGTCATTGCCTGGCTGTATCTTTCTCAACATTTAAGTCGGTTCAAGGGTCACATACTCAACTCAGAGAGGCTTCTCTGGTCGCCCCATCTAAAATAGCCTCCCTTACCATAAATGGTATTTGTTTTCTTCATGGCACATTTCACTACCTGAAATAACTTGTTAATCCATTGCTTTTTAGAGAGTAAAGGGAGGAAGGGAGGGGGGAGAGAGAGAGAGAGAAACATCAATATGACAGACACATCGATTGGTTGCCTCCTGCATGAGCCCCGACTGGGGTGGGGATTGAACTGGGGCCAGGGATTGAATCTGCAACCCAGGTAGGTGCCCTTGATCCGGAATTGAACCCGGGACCCTTCTGTGTGTGGGCAGATACTCTAACCACTTAGCCACACTGGACAGGGTTTGTGTTTTTAACTACTGATCTGCTTTCAATGGAATGTAAGTGCCATGAGAACTCGGACCGTTGGTCTCTTTCACTAGTGTGTCCCTACCAGAACCTGGTAAATGTTCAACAAATACTTGTTGAGTTTATAGATGATTTTGAACTGTGAAATACATCCCATTTAGTAAAATTATAATGGATATAAGTTATGCAGGGCCCTGCAGTGTCTAAGAGTTGTTGTTATGTATGCCAATTAACGCTGCCATTTTCATTTATCTCCCATAAAACTCTAGAATGAAAACAACATAAAACTAAATGCGACAGATTTCCTGCATCCTGGAACTTACAGGAAGGAGAGGGGCTTTTGCAAACACCCAGAGGACAAGGGGGAAAGGAGGAAAGATTACTGTGATTATGTTGTATAAGGTGCTGCGGGGGCACTGAGGTGGGTGGGCAGAGATTAATTCTGAAGGACAGATCAGCGAGGCCTTCATCAAAGAGAGAATATTAGAGTTGAACTGGGACAACAGGAAGCTTTAGGCAGGCAGAGCTGAGCGAGGGGGTTGGTTACTTACTACAGGGTGAGGAAGCATCATAAATGAATGGAATAGCAACAAGGAAGGCTGATGTTGGGAACCAATATGGCAAGTCTGTGGTGGCTGGTGTGCAAACTGAAGCGAAAGCGGGCAGCTGGTGAGTCAGGGCTGAAGGCAGCCTGAGCTACCTTGAAGACAGCTTTGAGTGTCCTTTCGGGCAGTCTGAATTCTATTTTATAGACAACAGAAAGCCTTTTCAGGTTTACAGAACTGGAATGCTAACTCTTGAGAAAGGTCAAGATTTCCCTGCAGGAGGGAGAGAGCCTGGAAAGAGGCAAGAGTCTAGGTAAGGAGTGACAAAGATCCGAGTTAGAGGGCTACTGGCGAGGGCAGAATGCCAGTGCGCTCAGCTGAAATCAGGATGAAGGCTGGCACGCAACTGAGTGAGGCGGCAGCAGGCAGAGGCCCAGGTGAAGTTCGAGGGAGGCGTTGTCACGAACTGAAAAAGCACACCCAGGTTTTTAGAAATGTTCTGTCTGGTTAATCGAGTTTTGAGATGCCAGATAACAAAGTTTAAGATACTCTTAATCTCTCCACAAGAATTCCATGGTAAGGGATTCCAAAAATGGACAAGGCCTGAAAGAGTCCAATTAAGAAAATTCCAACAGAAATTCTTCTTAACCTTTAATTATTCTTGGTTTTGAAAACTGCATATTCCAGTCCAGTCATAAGACCACAGGTCAATCATGGCCCATGTGCACATTAATCATGCTGGGAATGTACAAGTTCAAATTATTAATGCTTCAGAGTAACTGCCAGGTCTATTTGTGCTACTCCTTATTACCTCCCAACTAATTCCAGAATGATCTGAGGCAAGAACTTGTATGACCTGATCAGGAGGGTCAGAAGAGAAAGGTGGCAATGAGTGAGGAAAAATTAATGCCTCAGGACAAACAGCAATGAAAAGCAGCCTATCCACCAGGTCAGTAAAACCCTTCTAGAGTACAGATTACCAGCTTTAATGGTGCCACCCAGGAGCCAGTTTCTCTCTTGCTGCCTCCTTACATCAATAAGTACAGAAAAACTGCAGCAAACACATTTTGCAGAAAACCAGTGTAAATCCCATAAACACTAAGCCAGAAAAGATAAAAAGTATACACAGTTTTTCTTCAATCAGGTGCCTGATTTTTATACACTTTATGGCTTCTGTTTTATTAATTCATTTCCATCTAATTCCTTCTAGGGGCTGGGCAGTCAGACCGGTGTTTATAATCACAATTGCTTTAAGGCTCTTCTAAAACATGGCTGTGTTCAGTAATTACTTTCCTCCGGGTGGTGGGGAAGGGTCACATCTGACCTGAGCAGTCATTTCAATGGATACAGTTTAAAGTTAAATACATGATGAAGAAAAAGGAATCTTAATTACAAACAGGAAAAAATGAAATTTAAAGCCTGCCTGACCTCCTGATAATATGAAGATAAAATGAGGGTAATAAAGTTGACATCTCATGGGGAAGTTATGAGAAGAAACTCATAAAAATGACTAGGAGTGCTTTAGATTTACAAAGGCCTAATTAAATGCTAAGGATCAGTAATAAGAACTTCAGATTATGCACACAGTTCCTTCATCCCATGAGTTCAAGATGATGCTACTAACCCTCTGGTATTACCATGCAATATACAAATCTAGGTGCCACTAGAATATGGAACAGAGAGGAGAATTGAAGATTGCTTTCTTAAAAATAAAAGTGTACAGTATTTACTGTAAAGAAGATAAAAATATCTCCAGGTAGTTTAACCCTATGATGACATGTTTTAAATGATTGCTCAAGGAAATCATTTAAAGGAAACTGT